GAGTGTGTGAGTGAGTGTGTGTGAGAGGGATTCAGTTTTTGTGAGTGTGAGTGAGCGTGTGACAGTGAGTGTGTGTGAGGGTGATTCAGTTTGAGCGAGTGAGTGAGTGTGTGAGAGGGATTCAGTTTGTGTGAGAGTGAGTGTGTGTGTGTGTGAGGGTGCGTGAGTGTGTTTGAGGGGGTGTGCGCATAATACCAGGTCATCAGAATGACTGTGCTTATGTGGCATGGTGGTTCAGTGGTTAGCATTGCTGCCTCACAACGCTAGGGACCTGGGTTCAATTCCACCCTCAGGTGACTGTCTGTGTGGAATTTACACATTCTCCCTGTGTCTGCGTGGGTTTCCTCTGAGTGCTCCAGTTTCCTTCCACAGTCCAAATATGTGCAGAGTAGGGGGGTTGGTCATGGGAAGTGCAGGGTTATTGGTTACAGAGGTGGCTCTGAATGGGATGATATTCAGAGGGTTGGTGTGGACTTGATGGGCTGAATGGGCCTGCTTCCACACTGCAGGGATTCTATGTACCTTGTTTGCTCGTGTTGTGTGTGTGGAATAGTGGGTGTATAGAATGTGAAGACTGTGTGTGTATCTATGTATTCAACACATGTTTGTGCATGAAACATTTCATTGTGTTCTGTATGTGTGTGTGTGTTTGTTCAATGGGAGTCTGAAGAGAAAGTGTATGTGTGTGAACACCATGTGCAAGAAGAGTGTGTGAGTGTAAATAGTGAGGTGTGTGTGTGAGAGAACTGGTATGTGTGTATATGTTTACTGTCAGGACAGATTCCAGTGAACCCCATTTCTAGTGAAAGTGCAGACCTTCAGGGAAGGAGGCCACACGCTGAAATGAATAACTTTCTCTTTTTCTCCTTTTACAGCAAAGAAACCAGCTCTAACACGGCCAAACTTCCCTCCACCACAGCAACCGAAAGCCAACCTGCCATGGACATCGAGCCCCATGTGTGCCCCCTTAACCCTGCCAGTGGATGAGAAAGGAGGTCTCACCCGCAGAGTCAGCACCGATCCTGCCTGGGGCTTATCAATGAACTCTCCTGCTGGAGCTGCCCTCTCAGCGCCAGCAGATGACAAAGCCATCACCATTCGGCGAGCCACTACAGGCTCAGCGCGGGCACCATCCATGCCCCCTCCTCCTGTCCCTCACATCCACCAGCGAGCTTCCAGCATGGATTCAACCTATTCCAAAGCGGTCGCCCAGCAGGGAGTTCCTGGGGGCCCAGTCAGGGAACTACAGAGGACCACTGCTGAAATGACGCCCCCTCAACCTCGCTGCTACCAGGTTGAGTGGAACCAACTGCCTCAGCCATTGCCCCGAAGTCGGGTTTATTCCGTCAACCCAACCATGCTTTCGAGAGTGAATTCGGAGGTGAATGGATCTTCCTCTGGGGAGAAATGTGGTACGTATGGAACCCGCAGAGGAGCCGTCAGTCTGATATGGGGCAGAGTTGGTGGGGAACGAGATTGGGTGACAGGTGGGCACAGCGGTGAGGGGCGATCCACAATCTGTTGTCAATTTCTTTCTTCCTTCGTCCTGTTGGGCACGGAACCCAAAATTTGCGACTACCTCCCATCCCATTGAAATACCTCCTCAGAGGCCAGCGTCCCATTACTAATCAGCCTTCCTTTACAATTGTGTAGCCTTTGCCAACATCACTGCCTCTCACTGAGCCAGCCATTCAATGGGTCAATATCCCTGACACTCACTCCTTATATCAGCCAGGAGTCCCTAAAAGGACCAGATTAACAGCCCCAGTCATAGAGTCATACATCATGGAAACAGACCCTTTGGTTCAACCAGTCCATGCTAGCCATAATCTCAAACTAAACTCGTGCCTGCCTGCCTGCACTTGGCCATTTACTTCCAAACATTTCTTATTCATGCACTTACCTAAATGTCTTTAAACATTGTCACTATACCTGCATCCATCACTTCCTCTGGAAGTTCATTCCACACACGAACCACTCTCTCTGTGTAAGATAAATTGCCCATTCTGCTTTATTTTAAAAAATCTATCTCCTCTCATGTTAAAAATATGCCCCAGGTTTTGAAACCGCCCCACCCCCACACCCACCCTTGAGAAAAGATACCTGCTATTCACCTTATCTATACCCCTCATGATTTTATAAACCTCTATAAGGTCACTCCTCAACCTCCTACACTCCAGTGAAAAAAGCCCCAGCCTATCCAGCCTAACTCAAACCCTCCATTCCCAGCAACATCCTGGTAAATCTTTTCTGAGCCCTCTCCGACTTAATAATATCTTTGCTGTAACTGGCAACCAGAACTGGACACAATACTCAGGGAACTCGCATTCAGTAAAGTCTAGCTGGCTGACCTCATTACAATCACTGCACCTTAACCTGATCAAATTCTGGCCTAATTCCAAAATCCCTTCTCTGCCAATCTGCCACACTTTACCAAAAACAAACTCTCTGACCACACTTTCAGATGCCTGTCTTTGTGTCTCCTGCTTTGGCACAGTGTCAGCTTTGCCCTGCAATGCTCCTGTCAATCTCCCTGCAGGGTCTTTCTCTGAAAGCCGCCATATAAATGCATAGAAATAAATGCATATAAACACATATAAATGCATGTGTTTTTTGTTGTTGCATTGACAGTACAGCAGGCTGCATGTGTTTAGCACAGAAGCATTTGGAATAATTGGCCCATCTTCCCCCAACATAACTCATCTCATCCTGCCAACATATCCCTCCCTTCCTCTCTCCTTTATCTGCTCATTCGGCACCTTCAACACATCTACATATTATCCTGCCTGTACATATACACCTGCCGTTTACTTCCTCCCTCCTCACTATCCAAGGTCCCAGACACACCTTCCAGGTGAAGCAGTGATTTATCTGCACTTCGCTCAGTCTGGTCTACTGTATTCACCGCTAACAGTGTGGTCTCCTCTACACAAAGCACAGACTGCTTCGCAGACATTCTGTCCACAAAATTAACCCTGAGCTTCCAGTCGCCTGCCACTTCAAAACACCACCCTGTTCCCTGGCCGACATCCCTGTCTTGGGCTTGCTGCAGTGCTCCGATGAAGCTCAGCACAAGCTGGAAGGACAGTCCCTCATTTTCCGCTTGGGAACGCTGCAGCTTTCTGGATTTAACATTGAGTTCAACAATTTTAGGGCCTGAGCATCTTCTCCCATGACCTTACCCCAAGCCCCACATCACATGGGCTGCTACCACACACAATGGGGCATTAGCACGGTGGCTCAGTGGTTAGCACTGGTGCCTCACAGCACCAGGGACCTGGGTTCAATTCCACCCTCGGGCAACTGTCTGTGTGGAGTTTGCACATTCTCCCCACGTCTGTGGGGGTTTCCTCCAGGTGCTCCAGTTTCCTCCCACAGTCCAAAGATGTGCAGGTTAGGGTGGATTGGCCATGCTAAATTGCCCCATGGTGTTCAGGGATGTGTAGATTAGGTTATAGGGGATGGGTGTGGGTGGGATGCACCAAGGGTCAGTGTGGACTTGTTGGGCCGAAGGGCCTGTTTCCACACTGTAGGGATTCTATGATCTGTGAACCCATTGTCAGCCACTAATGGTCCCCATTAACAGCTGTTCATTCCCCCACACTAACCTTAACCCACTCCTTTGTCTATCCAACTGTTTTCTCTCTCTTTGTGCTCCATTTCCACCTATTGTTTACCCCTTCCCATTCCTCCCACCCCATCTTCAGCATATATACCAATCTTTTCCCAGCAACAATCCGTTCTGAAGAAGGGTACCGGACCTGAAACATTACCTTTCCACAGATGCTGCCAGACCTGCTGAGCTTTTCTAGCAACTTCTGTTTCTTGTTTCCAATAATCCACCATCTGCAGTTGTTTGGTCTTGATTTTCATATTATCCAGTGATTGTGCATTCTTACCATTCTCTCAGAGGTTTTGAGCTCCCTGCTGGATTTTATTACTCACTGTCTTTTCCAAGAAGCATACTTCTATTCTCCTGACGGTGATAAACAAATTCACAACAGCTGGCCTCTGGAATCATAATTCCAAAGAGTGCTTTTAAGTCAGCTTCCCTTTTCTAGAGAAAAGAGCCCCACCCCAGTTCTGGAATCAACCTTATAAGTCTGTTCAGTCTCTTCTTCAGTGCCTCTATCATACATTTTCCTAATTAACCAGGTCAGAGATGTTATTACACACCTCTGGGGAGGTGGGACTTGAACCCAGGCCTCCTGCCTCAGTGGTAGGGACCCAGTCACAAGAACCTTCCAGTACCTATATATCCTTGAATGAAATATGACTTCTCTAGAGTGCTCTTGTGTGGTCTAAGAAAAGTTTAATGGATATTCTTTGTACATAGTCTTTGAAATGGCATAATCATCATAGAACCCATACAGTGTGGAAGCAGGCCATTTGGCCCATCAAGTCCACACTGACCCTCCAGAGAGCATCCTACCCAGACCCATTCCCTCCATTTCCCATGGCTAATTGACCTAACATACACATCCCTGGACACTATGGACAATTTAGCGTGGCCAATCCACCCTAACCTGCACAAGTTTGGACTGTGGGAGGAAACCCATGCTGACATGGGGAGAATGTGCAAACTCCACATAGACAATTGCCTGAGGGTGGAATTGAACCCAGGTCCCTGGTGCTGTAAGGCAGCAGTGCTAACCATTGAGCCACCGTGCCACATCTTTTACAGGGTTTGTTTACCACATTTATTCTGATGCAGTTAAGAAGCTGAAGGAGTTATCTTAAGCCAAGACTTCAAGCTGATCGAAGGAGTTAATGAGGTGGATAGCAGGAAACTACTTCCGCTCAGATCAAGATAAAACTCTGTGGATGCTGGAAATCTGAAACAAACACAGAGAATGCTGGAGAAATTCAACAGGTCTGGCAGCATCTCTGGTGAGAGAGAGAAACAGTTAACATTTCAAGTCTGAGCATGACTCCTCTTCAGATCTGACTCAACGCATTACCTCTGATTTTCTCACTCCCTGGATAGTGCCAGACATGCTGACTTTCTCCTGCACTTTGTGTTTTTTGGATAACTATACGCTCTAGGGGTTGGGAGCCCAGAACGAGGAGGGGGTGGGGTATAATCTTTAAACACAAGCCAAGCTGTTCAAGTGTGATATCAGAAAGCACTTCCTCAACACAGAGGGGAGCAGAAATCTGGAATTATCCCCCACCCAAAAAGATATTGGGGGTCATTTGAAAACCTCAACAGCAAGATTTTTAGGTTTTTTATTGGTCAGTGCATTCTTACAGTAGTTGGGAGGTCGTGTTGCAGCCGTACAGGACATTGTTCAGCCACTTTTGGAATATTGCGTGCAATTCTGGTCACCCTCCTATAGGAAGGATGTTGTGAAACTAGAAAGGTTTCAGAAAGGATTTACAAGGATGTTGCCAGGGGTGGAGGGTTTGTGACATAGGGAGAGGCTGAATAGGCTGGGGCTATTTTCCTTCGAGCATTGGAGGCTGAGGGGTAACCATATAGAGGTTTATAAAATCATGAGGGGCATGGATAGGGTAAATAGCCAAGGTCTTTTCCCCAGGGTGGGGGATCCAAAACGAGAGGGCATTGGTTTAAGGTCAGAAGGAAAAGATATAAAGAGGCCCTAATAGGCAACAGAGGGTGGTGCGTGTATGGAACGAGCTGCCTGAGGAAGTGGTGGAGACTGGTACAATTACAACGTTTAAAAGCATTTAAGGTTCTTTTGAAGATTTGTAGTTCGGGTTGTGGTTGAGGTCGTCGACTTGCTCGCCGAGCTGGCTTGGTTTCGTTCAGACATTTCATCACCATGCTCGGTAACATCATCAGTGAGGCCTCTGATGAAGAGATGTTGTTCTACTCCACTTGAAATTTATAATGCTCGGCCTGAGAGGTTGGGTTGTGTCATTTCCGGTTATTTTTTGCATGAGTTTGTATATGGGGTCTAATTCCATGTTTGTTAATTGCATTACGGGTTGAAAACAGGCCTTTAGGAACACGCACAGGAATTCCTAGAGGCCTGGTTTTCAACCTGTAATACAATTAACAAACATGTGGAGTTAGACCCCATATACAAACCCATGTAAAAAATAACCGGAAATGACACAACTCACCATAAGACACCTGACAGTATAAGTTCCAAGCAGAGTAGAACAATGTTGCTTCATCAGAGGCCTCACTGATGATGTTACATAGCATGGTGACAAAACGTCTGAACGAATACAAGCCAGCTCGGCGAGCAAGTCAACAACCTCATTTAAAAGGCATTTGGATGGGTCTATGTGTAGGGGGATATGGGCCAAATGCTGGCAAATGGGACCAGATTAATTTAGGATATCTAGACAGCATGGAGAGTTGGACCGAAGGGTCTGTTTCCATGCTGTACCTCTCTATGACTCTAAGATTAGCAAGGGTTATGGAACCAAGCGATTGACGGGGTTACGTGACAGATCAGCCACAATTTAATTGAATGGCAGAACAGGCTGATGGATTGAATGGCCTCCTCCCGTACCATCCCATCAACCTCCGTCTCCAATGTATCATTCTCCACCACTTCCGCCACCTGCAATCCGACTCCACAACTAAGGATATATTTCCCTCCCCACCCCTATCTGCCTTCCGTAAGGCCCGCTCTCTCTGCAACTCCCTCATCCTACTACATTCCCCACTAGTCCCAACACCTCTGGCACCTTTCCCTGCAACCGCAGGAAGTGCTATACCTGTCCCTACATCTTCCCCCTCACCTCCATCCAAAGCACCAAACAAACCTTTCAGATCAGACAGGGGGTTCACCTCCACATCCATCAATGTGGTCTACTGCATCCGCTGCTCCCGATGTGGCCTCCTCTACATCGGTGAGACCAAGCGGAGGCTCAGAGGCTGTTTTGTACAGCACCTGCGCTCTGTTCGTGACAAACGACAACACCTTCCAGTCGCGAACCATTTCAACTCCCCCTCCCACTCCCTGGACGACACGTCCATCCTGGGCCTCCTCCAGTGTCACAACGATACCACCCACAAACTGGAGGAGCAGTTCTGCCTCAGGAGCCCACAGCCCAATGGCCTAAGCGTGGACTTTACCAGTTTCAAAATCTCCCCAGCCCCGGCCTCATCCCATGTCCAAACCTCCCTCTCATCCCCACCTCCTTGACCTGACACAACCTGTCCATCTTCTCTCCCACCTAATCCGCTCCTCCCACCTCACTGACCAATCCCCACCACTGCCTACCTGCACTCACCTATCACCATCCCACCTACCTTCCCAAGATCTACCCGTCCTCCTCTTGATTTATTCAGAGCTCCCTTCCCCCTTCCTTATTTCTGAAGAAGGATCCCAACCCTAAATATCAACTTTCCTGCTCCTCAGATGCTCCCTGGCCTGCTGTGTTCCTCCAGCTCCACACTGTTTTATCTCTGAGTCCAGTATCTGCAATTCTTACTATCTCTGAGTAAATTATTCATTTGTTTTCCCTTTAGGATCCCAGCAGCAGCTGCCACCAGCAACAACAGAGGACATGAATGAGCAATGCTGATTCCAAAATTCAAATGTGGGATGGGCCAGCAGCAGAGGTCAAGACCTGGATAGTTCACTGGCAAGCCCTTTCATTGGTCAGTAGCAGAGGTCACGACCTGGACATTTCATTGGGTAGCCCTTTGATCAACAATGCCTGACAAGAGGATGTCAGAATTTTGTATCTTCCTTTTTGATTGGCCAGTTCTCGTCCAATCAAGAGAGGAGGATCCTGTTGCCACAGGCAATAGGTTGAAAAAGAAATGTAAATAGTACTGGAGATTGGAGATCACAACAGGGGAGGTTGGTGAGACACCACAGATCTAACAACATCTGCGCCAAAAACAAGCTTGAAAATTTGGCCAAGGGGGGTTGACGTGGAATGTTCCAGGTCTGCACAGGTGCCCCCTCCAACTGTAAATGACCCCTGTATTGGTATGAAGCGATGGAGAGCGGTGGAGCTCCCAGAGATGATCCTGAGACCTGGGCCATTTGCTGATCACACTCAGCAATCCAGAAAAGAGCAAACTTTCTGTGGTGCCTTTTGCAACCTCAGGACATTCCAAAACACTTTACAACCAATAGCGTATGTTTTCTAAAGTGATATAATGTAGGAAACGGGGAAACCAATTTAGATTTAGATTTTATTGTCAGGTGTACAGAAGCAGCAGTACCACCAACGCTGCCTGTGCAAGATCCTGTGAATGCACTGGGAATAAATACTCACTAACCCCAGTGTCCTCGACCAGGCCAACATCCCCAGCATTGAGGCACTGACCCCGCCCTTGATTGGCTGCAATGGGCCGGGCATGTCGTCCACATGACCGACGAGACTCCCCCAAGCAGGTGCTCTACTCCCAGTTCCGAAACAGCAAGAGGACAGAGGAAGTGGTTCAGAGATACCCTCAAGGCCTCACTGGCGAAGTGCAGCATTCCCATGGACACCTGGGAATCGCTGGCCCAAGTCCATCCAAAGTGGAAGAGGAGCATCGGGGAAGATGTTGGGCACCTCGAAACTCACCATTGGGAAAAAACGGAAGCTGGGCAATAACAGCGTAAGGAGTGATACCCCACCCACCCTTTCCTGTAACCACCCTCTGCCCCTAGTGTAACAGAGCCTGCGGTAGCCACATCGATCTGTACAGCCACATACAGACTCACACAGGGAGTGGAAGAGAATTATCCTCATCTGCGTGGGAGCGTCAGTGATGGTGATGACGACGACGATGACAGGAGTACAGTGGAAAGTGGGAAGTCGCCATTCTGCAGTGTACAAAAAGACAGGATTAAAAACAGAAGTGGAATTAAAAGGAACAAACAAAAGAAAAGGAAACGTCTGGATCACTCCCCAGCCTCCGCCACCAGAAAAACAAAGTCCATCCCTCAGTCTGCGAACACTCAGATGCCCCATGTTCCCCACACACCACCACAGCTGGCACGCCACCATCTCCGCTGTCAGGTACCTAGGTACACACAGTAAACCGTATTCTATTTTTGCGATGTTGGTTGAGATATACAACTCCGGGAATAACTCCCAGGCTCCCCTTTGAAAGAGTGCCCTGAACACTGGGATGGATGCTCACTATAAGGCCTCACCTGAAAGACAGCACCTCCAACAGTGCAGCACTCCCTTGCTGGGAGTGTCACTCTGGAGTAGGTGCTCAAATCTCCGGGGGGGTCGGGG